ACCCTGGTCCAACTGCATCACAGATGACGCGAGTGTGGCTGCTGCAGATGAACACGTGCAAAGAGACACACACATTTTTATGTGAGCAAATCTGGAAACTCATTTTGTCAGGTGCAGCAGGTTATAAAAGGGGGGGATGAGAAACCAAATTAGGTGATATTATCTAGAGGCGGGAGAGAACATAATGTTCCTCTCATTGTAAGAGCTCACTCCTGAATGTGAATTTAGGTATTTTAAGACAGAATAAGTAACCTTGAAAGGCAGGTGATTGCAGCGTGGCGGTTCCTTGTTTGAATGCAAGCATCATTTTGCTTGGGTATTTGGAGTTGACAAACCCAAGCATATGGTCTTTCAAGAACAGAGTACTGCGCATATGTATTCCTTCACAGAGAGAGCATCAGAGTAAGAGAGTAAGTCTTTTACCGAGCCTGCATAATTGTGCATATGTGTGGGAGAAATAAGCGGAAATGAACTTCACACATAAGGGGGAAGAAAGAACAGGAATGACACATATTTATTTTCATCTCTCAGTCATTCTGCCTCATAGCAACCGTGAATGCTCCGGAGATGTAAACGTGAGAAAACAAAAAACATTTTCATGAAATCTATGGAAGTTTGTGGCAGCCTTTTGATGCAGTTAGGCAGAAGCGGGGCCCCCATCCATGGGTCAGGGACTGTGTCAAAGGCAGGCATGGTCTGGCCCCTGCTGGGGCTTACAGCCCCGTGAGGGCCATGGACGGAAGATGCCCGTCCCCTGCTCCACCTCCTCGCCTGTCTCTCCCCCTGGTTCAGCTGCCTTGCTGAACTTGTCGCTGCTTCTCTGCCCGCCAAGGATCAGGGGGTCACAAGGATGGGAAAGGGGATGAGGAATTCGAGCAGCCGGTGGCAGTGGTGGCGAGAAGGTAGCCCATCGTCCGGGTTCAGACGCAGGCACTGAGACCAAGGGCTGAGGCTGGGTTGAAGCTGCAGGCTGATCCAGACTCCAGGCTGATCCGCCCTTTGCCAGGTGTTTCTCCCAGGAGCGTATCATGGCATCCTGCTCCTACGGCTGAGTGGTGCCCAGACTGCGCTTCGGTCCATTCTCAAGGCAATGGGCTCGGGTCCATGTTCCTCGGCCGAAGGCAGAGGCCAGAGGAACCCAAAGTGTCCTTCCCTCCACATTAGCAATGCGCTGGAGCAGCTTGCAGACATGAAGAACAAAAACCGTTCCGTAAAAGGAATAAATCAGCAACATCAAAACGTAAACAGATTCAGCGGATAAAACAGCCTGAAATGGGCATCTAAAATGAGGATCCCAAGGGATGGCTGTGGCATCACAAGCAGCGAAGTGGCGCGCACGAGTTTATTCTGGCACCAGCTCTTGCGGACACTGCCCACTTTGTCACATGCATGAAGTGTTACCATGACGGGCAGATCAATGTACCGAGATGGGCAGTGTGGTGCAGTGGTTAAAGGGCTGGATTAGGACTGGGGAGAGCCAGGTTCTAGTCCCCACTCAGCCATGAAACTCACTGGGTACAGTCTGTGCCAGCCACTGATCCAACCCACCCATCTCACAGGTCTATTGTGAAAATGAGAGAGGAAGGTAAGCATGGATGCCATACTGGGCTCTAGTATGGACAAAAGCTAGGATATAATGTGATAAATAAAAAAGAAGAAATGAAATATACCAGACAAAATTTGTTCCTCTTCATGGTGCCAGTCTTGGCAAAAATGAGCATTTTTTACAACAATGAAAGCTTGAGGTGGGATAAGTTCATGACCGATTTTGGTAGAATAATTTTGTTGTTGATAACTGTGTTTCCCTTTACCTTAGTACAATATTTATCATCTTAAGAGGGAATAGCTAGGCAGAGCATTTCAGCCAGTGCAGAGACTTTGGAGGTCTGAAACATTAAATGTTCACAATCCTTGACCAAATATTGAACACCAGGGTTTCTTACAGGTTCTAACAGGTAATTAGAGTTCTACAGTTCTGTAACAGAAAATTCTACAAATGGGTATTACTACGGATCCAAATCAATTGCTAAAGAACAGAAGCAAAGGTTGGCCCTCAAAGAACATTAACCAGATTAGCCTGTCATCCTAGTCCTGGACTGTGGTTAGTGAAAATGCGCTAGCTTTACAAACTATGGTTTGAAGTTGGCTTGTTTGCACTAACTGTAGTTAAGATTAAGCACAGTTTGTCCAGGTTTGGATAACGCAGCAAGCTATCAGAAGCAAAAGCTATAGCGCAGGAAAAGAGAGGAATGGGACTCAACCCCATCATGCTCGGCTGTGATTTAGTGCCATGTCCAAACACAAGCCGCGAGTGATTACCTGTGGACAGCCAGCTGGAAGATCAGACAAAGCCTTTGAACCAGTCACATGTGAGGGACCCACGAATGATCCGCACCGTAAGCACACAATTTGGCAGAGGACAAAGCAGAGACTAGAGTAGCTAAGGACACCCAGCACCCATTACTGCTTTCCCTTCCAGTAGCCATCATCGCTACATTGCATTTCCACGGTACAGTCCTCTCTGCCCTAGCAACTTCTATGAGCCAATGTCCGATTTTATCCTTGTGCTACTTAGAAAGCATCAGTAATGCCTTCAGAATTCTCCCACCCTCCTGGCCCCAAATTGCTACCCAGTGCAGTCACATTATGTAATAATGTGAGTTAAAACACCTAAAACTTTCTACTCGACCTGCAAGGTACATGGAAATGCCCATATTATACTTATTCATTGGGACAAAATCATTCTGCAAACCTGAGAGAGAGCAGGTTTCAAGTGCCTCTCAATTTCTGAAAACTTGAAAAAGCTTTGGCTCCCCAACATGGTGGCGGCAAGTGAATATTTAAATTCCCAGCCTAGCCTATACTTAGCTCTGCGCCAGTCTTCTTCCTCACATTTCAGAGCCTCCAGCTGCTTCGCTTCAGAAAAAGCAATGAGACTCAAGCCTATGAACCTCACAACTTGCCATATGGAAGAAGAGAAATGCAGGGACAGGATGGTCACAAAGATATGCCTGACAGGCAACAACAGAGCCTGGGCAACCCACATTGCATGCACGCGATCCTAAAAGGAAACAGAAACGCGTCCTACACATTCCCAGCCACCATGGCTGACTGGGGAATGCTGCGAGTTATGATGGGTCTTATTTAAATATGCACAGGGTTGCACCCCAAGGAGAAGCAGCCTCACGATGTTTCACCAGAGGAAGGCTGGGAAAGGATGCATATACAGCTACAACATATAAATGAGGCAAATGTTTGCAGCTACAGTTTCAAGAGCTGGGTTGCATTATGGCCACTCAATGCAGAGCTGATGGCAGGCACGGACTGGCGGCCCCAGAATACATGGAAGGATCCACCACTTTTGCTTCAAGTGGACATTTCCCCTTACAGTATGAGAGACATCCGGAAGCCTCCTAGAAACCTGTCTTTTTCATAGCTTACTGTCAGAGAAAATGTACATTATATGAAGACAGAAACTTACTCGAGGTACTGAACAGATCAGTTACCAAACAAAAGGGGCTCCGAGGCTAAGCATTTATCATACACTTGCACTCCGCTACTCATGGGATTTTCCAGGGATCCAGACTGTAGTCCTCTACTAACACTCCCATTTTCTCACCACTTATTCCTTTCCAGAAAAAGAGTTAGAGAAAGATGGAGTGTTGGGGTGTTGTTGCTTGGAGCTGTCCATCTAAATGTACCCTAAACTAAAACAACTCACCACCCTTGTTTTCTCTCCTTCCCCAGCAATCTTGACAGATTACTCTTCCCTCATTGCTAGCAATCTGTATGGGGAAACTGGCAGGATTGGCAGGGGGAAACCGAAATTTGGCAGCAACGAGATTCAGGGTCACAGTTAAAGTTTGAGAAGCACAAACGACCCAAAGTGACAAAGTAATTTAACCCAAGTTGGCAATGAAACTAATCTCCTAGTTGGGTGGCCATCTCTCCCTAGTTGGAGACCCAGAAGCAGGGGTTCGATGCCGTACCTCTGTTAATTCCAGCACACAGCAGGAAGTTGGACCAGACGTCCTACAAGATGACCCCCAAAGAGTCTATCCTCAATGGAGCGATTTGGAAAGCGTCAGACAGCAGTGAATCGTGCAGCAGGCAGCCACTTCGCAGGATTACGGGAGACTCCATTTAATCTATCTAATTCTCATGGCACGCTGCATTTGGGAATTGCTGTAATAAGTTAAGAGGCCATCCAATCCAAATGCTTCCTCTGTGGCAACTTATCACCAGCATCTTCCTTCAGACCTTACCGAATCAAAACAGCTCACATACATGGAGAAAATATATGGCTGCCCCTCTTGCATCCATGCAGTGGGAGTTTTATTCTTGGATACTGTTTGAAAAGTAGCAGTAACTGTGTCTAGACAAGGTTACAGGTTAGGGCAGGGATGTGGCCCTTTTAGCAGGAGATACCAAATCAATTATATTATTCCATAAAATCTGAGAGGCAATTCAAAGAAGTGGGAAGCACCCCTTGCTCAAGCACTAACTGTTGATTTAATGCAGTGAACACTTGAAACAAAAGACAACAGTGCTGAAACATTTCCCATCCCACATGCACAAATGTCCAACAAGATGCTAACATTTATGCCAACAGGCATTTGACTCATAATCCCAAAGGATTTTATGAAAATTTTGAAGTAACACACACCCTCTCTTCACCAGCCTTACCTGCTGCCAACCCCAATGCAAGTGTTTACATTCCTTCTATTCCTGTTCAACTTGCACCTGTCAGATTTCCAAAAGCTAGACAGCTGTAAGGCACAATGCGCTGGACGTCCCGCTTTTCAGTAGAACAGCTTGGAGGAGGAAACCCTGTAGCGCTTGCACTATCCTGAGGGACAAGAGCCTGCCTAGAATATTGCCTGCCACATACTAGGGGTCCCAGGTGAGCGTTTTTCTGAATGGTTTTTGGAGGTCGAAAGCAACTGGCACGCTCCTCCTCAATCCAGAGTTCTTAGATATGAACACAAGACCTCAAGACACACAGATGACAGCATTTTATTAAAAATGGGACACATAAGAGCATTTATACAACGTGATGGGTTTTTTAAAAAAATAGTCAAGTTGTAAACTGAGAGGCGGCTTGCCTTCCACAGCTCGCTCAAACTAGAGCACGCCTCGTCCCCCGGAACAGCACCACCTCTTTCCTCCCTACACCCTCTCCGAGTCTGAGCGTCAAGTATCACCCTCCTTAGCAGCAATCCAAGCAAATGCCTGTTGTTTGGGGTGGCTGGTGTACTTATCAGCTCATTTAAAAACAAGTGTACAATAGCAATAGTTTTCATACGGTGGGTTTCTTCCATCAAAAAGCGGAATGACTTTCCGTGGCAGAATTTAAGACTTTTCAGTCAGTCACTGGCAGCATCACACAGAGGAGAATCAACAGTCCCAGAAAGGCACTTCAAGCCAAGAGGTCTCCCAGTTGGGCAGCTCGCAGAGTTATAGCTGTTTGAATGTCTGAGATGATTTCTTACCACTCTGGGGTGGGGTAAGGACACCTGTGGGCAAAGGAGAACGTCTGTCCCTCTCAGCCAGCATGGCCTGTTTTGCTTGAGCTTTGTCCTGAAAAAGATGGACAAGCAGCAATCATTCCCTCTTGGCGTACAAGCATGAGGACAACCTGTGCTTTTAGATTTCAGGAGCAACTCCGCTTCACAACCCCACATGCCAAAAATAAGCAAAAGCCACTCTAGAGGTGAGATGCACTGACCTGGGAGCTGTTTGGCTTCTGCCTATCTAAAATCCGGTCACCCCCAACTCATTTATTTTGTGGGTCAAGTAGAAAGGATTGCAGATTAAAATACGACAACAAGGGATCAAATTCTTTCTAAAATAATGCCAACTGTTTTGTGTCAGGAATATGAGGACAGCTGCAGAAGTTACAAGGCTCCAGGATGCTGAACAGTATTTTCCTGACTCTCACCTGACCCTTGTGAATTTATTCTCAAGCTCAAAAAATTTTAAAGGAAAAAAGAAAGAGTTTTTATTGAGCTACCATTCAGTGCAATGCTTACCAGCAAATCGAAAGTGTTTATGTGCGTCTGTATATTGTGCAAATCCTCCGAAGGAATTCCTTTAAAGTGTTTGAGTGTTGAGCTCCCCACTTCCTTGATAGACATGGCAAAGGGGACCATCCATTTCACACACTCTTCTATATCACACAGTTCGTAACCTAGAAGAATAAGAGAAGAACCCTCTTTGCAAATCATGTCTTTACTCAGCAGTTTTAGGTCAGGGTATGCTAAAATCCCATTTACCTGAAACTCTGTGCATCAGCTCGCAAGAAGAGAAGTGATATAAAGCAGAAGCAGCGAGAACGCCGTAAGTATATTCCAAACAGCCGACATCCAGCACACAGAGATCCAAGAGCTGCCAGAAAGAGTCAGAGAGCTTAACAGGAGGCCATGCGTAGGGTGACCAAGGAAGGATCTACAGGGAGAGGGCATCTTACCTCAGCTATTTGCACAAATATCTGTTGGGGATATTGCGGCAGCAGCATCTCATAAATCTCATTTAAATATGCAACTTGCATGTATATATTTAGCCAGGACACAACTGTGAGGGGACTCAAATTCCAGTTGAGTGCCTAGAAGAAAACATGATGGCAAAGTGATTTTATTTCGCACCCAAGATGGCCTGCTGCACTGGCCTGCCCTCCTCTACAAATGTGAATGTAGTGTAGTTAGGAATTTACGGTACAGTTGCTCACACAATCAAATGTGCAAGGATGAGTGGACAACCACACCATCGTAGTGGAGAGGAGGTGGGCAGACTCGGGGTCAAATCCCCAGTTAGCAAGGGTAAAACAATAATCAACTAGATTCCAGGTTCTGGAATACACAAATTGCTTTTAGACCTGTGCTGTCCCCAAGAACTGGCAAGAAAGTATTGATCTGTAGCACATACAAGAGGAATGTTTGAGGTTTTTCACCAAGAGCTCATGAAATACAGTATGCCTTGAGATGCGGAAACATGCCCTGTCTAGGGTGCTGAACTAGGGTTTGAGGGTTCAGGAGCTTCTCAGGATGGACAGTTTTTTATCCATGTAACTATCAAGAAGATAAAAGACTGATGTAGATTCACAGGGTACATCTAACCTGCATACTTCTGACAACAAGAGATGACGACTTTTCGCCACATCTTTTTTGGATGGACACACTGAGAAAGGCTGTGCCCAATGTCTAAAAGCAGGGGCAGAGTCATGCAGGCCAGCGGCCCCTCCGTAACTCTGCTGCTTCTAGGCTGGCACAGAGACCAAGCAAGCAACTGGGCAAAGGATCAGCAAGCCTTCGTTTAAAGCCTGGGAGCCCTGACCATTAATCCTGAGGGAAACTATTATCTTCCATCTTGGGGGAATCAAAATTTGAAAAAAGCAGAATGCTTTTTTCGTGCAGGTGCTTTATTTTTTAATCTTTGTAAACAGATATGGAGTCATACAGCCAGTGTGTAGTGATTAAGAATGTCGGAGTGGGACTTGGGAGATCTGGGTTCGAGTCCCCGCCCAGCCATGGAGCCAACTGGGTGACTGGGCGAGTCACAGACTCTCAGCCCAGCCTACCTCGCAGGGTTGATGTTGAGGGGACAAGAGAGCAGCACAATGATACAAGCCAAGTTCTTTAAAAAAAAGGAAAAGGCGGGATAGACATCTAACAATACATAGCCAAACCTACCTTCATAATGATGAGCTCCATACTAAGAATTTCTTCTTCTGTACAAGCTCCATCTGTAACATATGCAAACTGATGCAACTTTGGAGGGTAGATTTCCTGAAACACGGAAGACAGACATCAATATGCTTGTCAACGATGGTGCTTAGAAACACAGTAAATGGCAAAGCCAGATGGTTTCAGACACTGACAGCTATCAATGTCTGCATTTTGGGTAACAGAACAACTCTGAGACAGACAGATTTTCTGAGCTCTGATCAATTAGGGGAAGCAGCAACTACGAAACTAACGAAATAACAACTTCCCATCTTGCAGTTATTGCCAGTCACACAAGATCTGTCAAGGATCATAGCTTCCAATGTCAAAATTGCCAAGGCAGGCAAGCAACCGGGCCTTCCAACTACAGTTTCTGGAAATGTACACAGTCTTGCTCTTTTCCAGGAGCCGTTCACTTCTACAGCATTCTTATTAGCACCAGCCATCGACTCAGGACACAACAGCCACCTAAGCCCCTGCCGGCCACACCTTGAAACAGGGTTTAGAAGACCCTTCTCCTTTCACTACACGCAGCACCTCTTCAAGACTGAAGGGGACTATAAGCACCACCTATTTTCAGGCTATTATCAACACAGTGAGTACAACACACGTAGGAGGAGGAATTTATGACTACCAGGCCTTGTACATATGCTCTCCAACTTTTTATTTAAAAGGAATTCCATTTCCATACATGACCGACACAAATATGAATTTTACCAAAAAGGTTCATGTTTATCAGCCATCTGTCAGTAGGCCAGCTGTAATGCACTGTGGGTATGTGACTATTTTTTGGAGTCCACTTGAAGAAAGAGATGATTCCTTGGCTAAAGCAATGATGCTGGCAACTGCTGCTGAGTTTTATAGAATTTTAATGATTAACACCATCATTTTATTTATTAATGCTGTGCACAGCCTCAGGACCTTTTAATTATAATAAAATAAAAACAATTTCTGGAAGAACCATGTTTAACTATTTAGCTATCTAACTATTATTCAAATACGATGTGTGTAAAGCATTTTCAGTTTACAGTTTGGGCAAGAGGTTAGGAATGAAAATACCACCTTCTTATCTTACTGGAAGGACCCACAGTACAGTGCAGATCGTATTATTGCTAAAAGCTGTGAACATAAGTCAATGATACCTCATTCACTGATCTGAAGATGTTTCCCTAATGCAGTTCTACCGGACAAGGGCTACCTTGCCACATAACTGCAAGGGCTTCTGTCAGTTCTGAACAACCCACCTCTGCTGCTAATGCGCTTTCTAAGCTAAAAGTCTACCTACGAAGGCTCCTACCTCAGATTATCAAAGAAGTCATTGTGTAGCATCGACAAGAAAATGCTAATCCAAAGAAGAGACTTTGCTGTATTTCATCACAGTTCAACGAAGATGAAAACAGGACGATTTCCACTAAGCATTTTTAATAAACATTTTACCCTTGCACGCTGAATAATTATGGAACTTGCTTTCCAGAGAGGTATGTCTGCCACCAATGCTTTATTACTTTCAGTGCCGGGCAAAACTCTTTTTATTTTCTCTGTTTTTAATTGTTAAGGGTATTTTAATTAGTTGTATCAAATACTGGCAGGGGTTTTTAACTGTTTTATTATGGTAATAATTGTTTTTAACGCTTTCCACTGTGTAAACCATCTTGAGATTTTGTAATGAATTGATTTTACTTTCAAGTAAAATAAATAATGCAATCCAATATATATTTACTGTCCCACTGTGCTCAGAGAGATTTATTCCCCAGAAAGCAGGTTTAACATGGTAGGATAATGCTCATTTTACCTCAAGCTTTGCAGCAATGAATAAAGATGAAATCCCAATAAGTTGCAGAAGTGTCTTTATAATGTTCTGTTGTGTTGCCATGAACCGATCAAAGAAATCTTGTGCCAAATAAAATGTCTCTCTGTGAAGCTTGTAGACTTCACACACCTGCAAGAGACAAAACCAAGATATTCTGCCTTTTAGTATTATTCCATGATCAACGGGATTACACAGGACTTTTTTGCAGGGGGAAACAGAGTAGCGGCAAGTTCACCTGGTCTAAGGCACAACTATGTTTTCTCCCTAGAGTCATTCTGTGGCTTCCTGCATATGACAACAGCCCGTAAGTAAATAACTGCTAGGCACTGCTGCCTCCCTCCCTCCAGTGAGATGTCAGCAGCCACCATCCTGACCAAAGCTAACACGCTCCAGGGCCGATCAGGATCACTAAGCACCAGAATGCTCAGAGCAACACTGTTACACTCGTTCCCTGGCTACAGGAAGAGCCCTGTACATGTCTGTTAGGATCCAGCCCTGGTAACTGCTCCCCGTTATCTAGCACGGCCTTTCTATACTCAGCTCTAGCCCTTCTGTCCCCTTGTGTTTCCAATGAAACTTCTTTTGCATTGGCTTTTGTTTTTGAAAAGTTTAACTCTCCTTGGTTTCTTATGATTTGTGTGATTTCATGAGCAGTCTTGATGGCAACCATTTTAGCTTGTGCCTGGATGGAGTCTTTCCCCAACACCAAAATTCTGCTAGCGGTTTATATAAAAAAGTGGCAGGTTACATATAAAAATGAAAGTCTGTTTTGTGTTGGTTCTGCTGTGACTATGTAACCCGAATTCAACTTTGATTTGAATTGCCTGCTGCCTGGGAATTGACTCTTTTTTAACTTGAGAATTTGCCATAAATGAACCACAGAATACTCCAAAACAGCATCTGATCAAAATCCTACCCCCACATATAGTTTCTCTGCAAAGTCAGGTGAAGAAGAAAGTCTTACCTCCATTAGCCAGTCTAGGAGAATTACCCGCATTTTCGGTTGCAAGAGTGGGTGCCTTTGCATATATTGTTTATCTCTCACATACGTCTGCTCTTTGTTGAGCATGTTTTTCCAGACTTCATCTCTATTTGCCCAGCTAGAGAAAGGTGAAAAAAGGCCACATTAAAGCTAAGTTTAACAGACAACAAAGCAGTAGTATGTGAAGCAGGTGGAAAAATTACCCCAAAACAGGCAATGGTGAATCTCTAGCTGAAGTACGGCTTTGGCGGACAAAAGGAGCAACGCCTGGACTGCCCAGCTCGTCCTCTTTGTCTGGTGTGGGGATCAGCATATGGGGATGTGTACATGCATCATAATCTGAAATTGGCTAGTGGAAGACAAAGAAGGAAGGACGGAAGGAAGGAAGGACGGAAGGAAGGAAGGAAAAAGAACATTAAAAGCTACACTTACAAAAAAGTTTACTGAACAGCTGATAAATCCTCCATGAAACAATTTTTTTAAAAGAGCTAAAGTAATTTTCTTATACAAAGCAACTGTTTTAACCATTCTGAAAGGGACATGGTCATCGAGATGTGCACTTGTTTCCTTCTTAGAAGCTGTAGCTGCTTCAAGGTGCAGAACAAACGGCCACCAAAGCAGCAAGTGGTCTTCTTAAAAGAGCACTTAGCAATACTGCATTTGTTCTGCCGCACACAAAGATATTCTGCATGAAGGAAGACAGGCTTTCAGTTTCACAATCCCATCTGTTTATTTTCCACCTGATGGTGGTATCCTTGATAGTAAAAATCAAGAAACACAGAGATTAGGACTTCAGGTGGGGAAGAAACAGATGGAAGTCCGACACAGTTACGCTTTTTTCCTCTAAGTTCCTGTGGTAATGAACACAGCAGGAGAAAGCAAACTGGCTTAAAAAAGAGAGCCTTGTTGCCATTCAGTACGTATCAAAACATATATAAAATATATGAATTTTCTGTCTCAGGATGACGGTTCAGCTAGTTTACCCAGAAAACTGCACGTGCCAAACGCAAACTGGCACCCGTGCTATTCCTTACATTCTGGAACGGTATGCACTGGAAAATTTAAACTCATGTGACGTGAGCATGTGGAAAAGAACTGAAGTACACAAGCTAAGGTAATATTTGCAAGGAAAGGTATTAGACCTGCTAGCACAGGCAATCTCAAAAATGGTCCCTGAAGCTGCTCAGATTTCGTGGTAAGGGTATAAAATGAATCTAAGCACCCACCTACAACAGAAGTTCTCTGAGCTTCTGGGTTTTTTTTAACTGCACACACAAAAATATACTATAGCCAGATAAAACCTTTTCAGACCAGTGGCATCTGACTTAAGTTCAGGCAACTGAATTAAGATCAGGGCTGCAGCTTAATAAACTACAGTTCGGTGCATAATCATAGTGAAAACTGCATGTGCAACCTGTTCCACCACACTGGAAAAAAAAGTAACAAGGATTTATGTGAGAAACAGCTTGAAACATGCCTGTTAATGACGACAAGTTAGCAAGGCTGAGGGAAAGAGATGAGTGAATGACTCATTCTGAAACCAAACCTTTGCTAGCCCGTCTTTCTGGACTACTGACTTGTTTTCGAGTGAAGCCTGGACAGTATTGGCTTAGTTAGCACAGTATCTAGAAGTTATATCCAGCAAAAGACCTGTCTGTATTTTGCCCTGGGTTAAACAGCTTTGGTCCTAAAAAGCTGTGCTTCCTTCCCCTTTAAAGCTGTGTTCTCTGCTGGTCTGGTCTGTTTATACCCCCGAGTTATCTATTCTGAGGTCACACTGGAAGCCACAATCTCTTCAGCTGGCCAAAAGGCACCTGGCATTATTCCAAGGCAAGGCCTAAGGCAATCAGTGAGCATCTCAGAATCAGAATGCCCAACGTTGGAAGCATCCAAAAACACCTCTGCTATGCCAGTACACCATAGGTTGTACGGTTCTCCAGTAACACCTTACGGGTATGGATGAGCTAAGCCGTATCAGAACCTTTTGATGGAAAGGGACAGACACTACACATTGCTTATAAGAGATGGTCGTTTTACTGGCACTCATGGTTGTAGCTGGGCTGAACAACGTAATTTCCCTTTGTGATAGTACACAACCTCACATTGCAGCCGATACCAAAAAACAGTTGTGCAACACTGACAGACCACACAGTGCTAATCTTTAGACCTTCTAGCTTTAGGAAGCTAGAAAAGAAAGAAAAAAGAAGCATTTCTTTATTCGAGTGCAGCTCAATTCCTCCTGTTTTCTGATCTCACTAAGTTGCAACTAAGGTAAAGATCACTTTTCCTATAGGCACTATTTGCAAAGAAGCAAACAGGCAAAACCAGACTGGGCTGATGCCAAACAGACACATTATTTCCAATACATTATAGCAGTTTTGAAAAATGCTTCCCCTTCACAGACAAATACCTGCCCCAGATTTTCAGCAAAGATAATGTCCAAAGCAAACCCCTTGCCCATGTGACAAGGCAATGCTACAGATATGAGGTAGGCTGGCCTGAATTTCACGTCAAAGCGTTGGGTTACATGCTGCGGAAGGCCAGAATAAGGGAGTGCAGCATCTGAATCACAGGAACATGCAGTCCCAGTCAGACTCCTGTGAAGTTACAGCCACGTAAGAATACTGGCACTCATTAAACAGCTTCAAGGATACATGGCCATGGAGAGGTTTAAAAACTACACTGAAACATTTTGGTGCAAAAATTCTTCAAAACTAGAGTCTTGAAGAAATTACTGGTATGGTACTTTGTGCAATATTTATCAGAAAATAACAAAAAGCATGTTTGGCAGGTGAGGTGTGGGGGGAGGCAGAATGGAGACGGAAAAAAACTGACTTTATGGAGAAGTCACCACGTTTGCACATTCTGCCCTTCAAGCCGAGTCGAGGAGGGGTCTGCCCTGCATCATCTTGGGATACCGAACATGCAAACCATCAAGGCATTTTCCCTTCTTTTCCTTCCTCATTCTGCTCCAACCACAGCCAAACCTGCTTTTTGCAGCATGTTGGTAGGTACCAAGCCAATATTCCTTTGGATTCAGTTTTTTTAAATGGTCAACATGTAAAAGACACATTTCTCGCTCATACTTTTACATACATGTAGGAGTACAGATGCATGTAATATTCAACAAGCAAGTCATTTATTTAGACTGAAATTTGGTCAGGTTGGTGTTTGGATGACTCACAAATTGCAAAATGGGTCAGGTGAAAGGGGAAATAAAGCAGATACCATGATGAAAGCTAGCTAACCCTCCCCTGACAAAGCTGAATAATTAATCCTGTATCTCGCCCAAGGGTCCAGAAGGAAAGGAAATTTCTTCCTTGTGAAGAAGGGTCCAGAAAGTGAACATTTAACAGGTTGACTGACAACTGGAATAGGCAGTTGTAGCAAACAGAATCCATAGCAAACAAAGCCCATCTGCTATGGTAGCATTAGCCTCCAGACCTCCAGCTGCTGTAATTGGTAAGATGCACATTTTGGATTAGCCTCTGCACCCAAAAAAAAGGGGGGGGGAGAAAGCTTCATTTTCTGCATTTTTAACTGTCACCCTGAACATTGCCACAGTAGATAAAGCCAATACTCTTTTCAGCTTTTTTCTGTCTACAGTTCTTTCATCTAAATAAAAATGGTGTTCTACAGAGTCCCATCTCTTTGTGCATAGCAAAAATGCAGAAATGAGAAGGCATTTCTGAAAGCAAATCCTTAAAAAAATTACTTGGTGGAACCTTAGCCTTGCGTCAGACAAACTCAAGAAGCCTAGCAGAGTTGCAGACCCTTTTTAAGCCTGAAGGATGCATACAATTTTGGTTCCAGATTTGGGGGGGGGGGGGGGCACAAGCACAGCAGCAGTATATTTTAGCTTAAAGCTCTTACTGTAACTAAGCATTAGGAGAAAAACAACCAACTACTAGAGGTTGGAGAAGATGAGGCACGGCCACCCTGCAACCTTAAGATGAGTGGATTCAGCCCTTGGACCCGAAGATCTGCACTCCTGTTCTTTAGGGTACTGTGAAAATACTTAATACTTACCCTGAGCCTCCTGATTAAAGAAAATCTGCTTGACTGAGAGAATATATACACCTTTCGCCAATCTGTTGCCCTCCAGGTGTGTAAATTCCATCATTCCCAGCCGGCATGTTTGAGGAATCTGTCCAACTATACGCATTATCCAAGCAGAGCAGTTTACAATCCCTGTACTACTCCTGACCATAATGGCAGGTATAGAGCTGTGAGTCAGGATAACACTTCATACTCCCCTGAAAAGTTTATCTCATAATACATTTGTTAGTATTTAAGGACTGCTGCTGGACATGGCTGCCTAAATTACCTGGCTTTCATTCTGCTTCTTCTTGGTCATTTCTATTTTGGCAACGTCTTCATCTGGATCACGTAGGAACTATATGGAAAAGAATGAATGCACGGTTAAAATTTGCAGTCATCTCAGCAGAGAAAAACAATGGCTCTGGAATTATATCCATTCCTCAATTGATTCTAAATACCCAGGACTATTAAAACATGGCATTTATACAAACAAGGATTACTACCATAGGTTTACTGCTCTGTTCAGCAGGCTCATTCTCAGTATGGTAATTTAAGTATAGAATAATTACCATCCATTTTGGGGAAAGAGACCTGTCCATTTATTTAAGTATGACTCAATTCCACAAACTAGCATACTTGCAATAATCACATTTAGCTCACTGACTTCACCAAGATTAAACTACAAATGTAACAGCTGAAAAGAGTTACCTTATGACTCCCAGACTTCATCTTGGGCACCACAGGATGATTCAGATTCCCAGATCCAAGGTCAGGGAGAGTTCTGACCCTGCAGCTTGGAATTCACGCTATGATCCCGTCTCCCACTTGCAACCAGAGCAGTAAGAATAGTGCCAGCTGCTCCTCAGAGGTCAGGGAATCAAGCATGGGCAGGGGGTAAAAGGGACGGAGAGAGAACTAGAGCCACCAGGGTACAAGGTATCCTGGTGGCACACTAGTTCTCTCCACTCTGTCCCTCCAAAGGGCCTCAGCCAGATGGCTGAAGACAGCCGCCTAACTAAAACGCAAAGCAGGAAGGCAGAGATTGGCTTCAGCACACCTTCCACTCTATCTAAAATGTTTCTATGGTACACAGAGATTATTTTTATTTGGAGCACAACACGGGGGAGAACCTAGTTTCTGAATTTACTAGAACCATCTCAATTGTCTAGGGCAAATTTGAGTTGCTAGAAAAAACTGGTGCATGTCCATAGGAATGGGTATTTAACCAGAAAAAAATGTAGCTGGTCCACTGTTCAGGCAAATGATTTTCCTTTTAACAAAGAAGGATACTATATGATCAACAAGACTTACATTAGCTACCAGAACAAATTACTATTGTGAAACAATGAAATCAACTTGAGAGGAGTTAATAAGTTTCTAGACCCAAGTCCAATCTTTCACACAGCACATGTGCTGGTGCACATGGAGGGAGTACTCCGCAGTCCCTGCAGCAGGCAGTATGGCAGGCCTGAGGAAGGACTACTTCTGCCCTTCTTTGGAGATCTCTACTGATACAGCAGTGTAAGCTTTGTTCAGGTGAGGGAAAGAAACATCAGGGTCTTGTGGGGAAATGTTCCGGTAGAGGAGTGCAGGCTTTGTGTATGGGAGTTTCCAGGTACCATTCGACATCTCCAGGTAGGAGAGGCTCCTGCCCAAAACTAGATAGATTAATGGCTTGCCTCTGTAGAAAGCAACTTCTAATGCTTCTAGGCTTGCCCGAGTGGTAAAGGGGCAAGCAGCCATCACTACTGTCTTTTCTAGTAGGGGATCTACAGCATCCTAATGAAGTACGACAAAGTTCAGCTGCCAGCAACCAAACATCTTCCCTGATTTCATGGAATATTTCATCTGGCTGAAGTAACAGACACACTGTTCACTAAGTTATATATTCTTATCTTTCGGAGTAGTTAATTTAGGGGTTTTGGAGGGGATTTCCTTCAAGTGGAAGCCAGTCCTTCAAAAGGAGATGGTTACGTTTACACCAACATGCCCTGATTTAGAACCCTTTAAGGGACAGCCCTATGCACGTGTAGGCCAAAAAGTCCCATGACTTCCACATTTCCCAGTCCCCATGCTGGTTGGGAAATGATGGGAAATATAAGACTTCTGAGAAAAATACACAGGACTGAGCATTTCATATGCCATTTTGCATTCCTGCAATGTGCACTTACTATTACAATGTCAGCTTTTCTCTTGCGGGTTCGGACAGCAAAGTCAGCGGGACCCTTGTTCTCACTGGGCACTTTCCTGTCCTTGTGATCACTGCGAAGAGACCAAGAGCAGGGCCCATCAACTCATGCCAAGCTTACACATTCCTTGCTTGCACTTAGAAAAATATTTAGAAAGTGGGGGAGGGGGGAATTGAGAGATACATGCTTTATTAACCCAGTTGTCCATGTGAACCAGGCTGAATATTTGATTCATCAAGGATATCTGCTCTTGTACATTCAAAATCACAAGTTTCTCGATGGATTTCCTAGAGAGAACTCTAGGCCTACAAACTTTGCAGCAGGCCCTGCAAAAGAGTGGACTGCAACAGGGTAGGAAACTCACCTCTCATTTGGCATGGTGGCCTGGGGAAGTCAAGACTGACTTGAAACCTGAAAGAAAAAAATGGCAGTAATGAAATCACTAATATTTCCTGTTCAAGTAAGCTAATTGTAGGGATGGCTTGATTTAAAAAAAGAAGATGGGGTATTATAATGGGCATAAGTGTGCAAACGTAAGAGCTTGAAAGAGAGAAATACTGATATACATCCCAAAAAGAAAGATGAGAATGCCTTAATAGAAAAACCTAAAGAGAAACCGCAGGCCCAAATAAATCTTATGCAGTAAAAGCAAAAGAAAAGGGGGGACAGGCTGTGCAGCTGGAAGTGGGGAAAAGTTGGTGGGCTTAAAAAAAATAGGATGCAAACACACTGAGATTAGGATTATTATTTTGTGCGTATTTGGAGAGGCACCGGCTAAAGGGAGACTATCAACCTTCTGCCCGCTATTGTGCCCACCCAATACATTCCACTTGAAAGCATTCATGAAAAACTGTCCTTACCTTCTCCCCTCAAACAGCCCCCCCCCCCCCCCCCCCCGCCATGAATCCAACCCAAGTAAGTCAAAACGCCGCTCTAATAGCAGCTCCTATGGACCTTCAGGATGGGCTGCCTTACAATCCTCTCCAAACCCAGAGGGGAATGTAAAAAAGCCTGCACCCGGGCGGGATGGGAGCAAGCAGCCCACCTACCCCTATTGCAAACTACAAAGACCCGACCCCGAATTAAAATACCTAGGAGAGGGGGGAGGGGAGCCCCCTCGCCCCCCTCCCCCCTTGGGACACCCCTAGAAAGGCCCCTGGGAAGCCCCGCGCGAGCCCCTTCCGAGGCGGGAGGGGGGCGAGCGCGTGCAGCGCGTCCTACCCGAGCCGTTGGCGGGCGGCGGGCTGGCGGCCGGCGACCGTGTGCGTGCGTGTGTGGCGCGGGCTGGCGGGCGGGCGGGACGCAGGAAGGCGGGCTCCTCTCCCTGCGTCGGGCGCCTCCTCGCAGCGCGGCGCGGCGGCGGATCGCGGGTCGGGCCGGCGCGGCCTCGTGGCGCACGGGGCGGCCAGGCCCCGAGCGGGCGGATTTAAGCCTCGCGG